CGGTGCTAGATTGAAGAGAAGACTTTCTTCCCAGGCAGGGTATAAAGTGTTACTTGGCTTTTAACAGTTCACTGAGCTGTTCCATTTTGGCCAGTGGTTCTCAACCTGTGGGTCGGGACCCCATTTGGGGTCGATCGACCATTTCACGGGGGTCGCCAAGCAAGGCTGTCCGCCATTTTTTTTGTCCGCCATTTTTTTTTGCCCGCCATTTTTTTCCCCTTTTCCGGCAGGTGCCTTACCTCCCTTGGGCTGGGCCAGCTGGTGGTCGGCCTGCTCCGTCTCTGCCGCTTGCCAGCTACGCCTCGGCCGGCGTAGGGGGCGGAACCACGCATGCGCGGTGCTCCCGGGCAGGGAAAGTCCTCGACTTACGACCAGTTGGGTAATCCTCGACTTACGACTGGTTTAGTCCTCGACTTACGACCGGTTTAGTCCTCGACTTACGACCGGTTGGGGTCGCGGCATTAAAAAGGTTGAGAACCACTGATCTTGGCTGACAGATCAGAGCTCATTGTCCTGACGTGTTTCGGCTACAGAGGAAGAGGGCTGAGAAAAGTTAGCATTGCCCGTAAGATAACAACGGGAGCTGGGGGGGGGGGAAAAACTGCAGGAATTGTCCAGAGTTAGAGAGATTGGAACTTCTCAGCTGGACATGGAAAATACCTATCCAACACTTTCCCAGTGAGTGTCTATTTTTTTTTTAAAAGGAGGATTATATATATATTTTTAGAAACAATGCCCCTTTCCCTTTCCCGTCCATTCCCCTCCCTCTCTTCCCTCCCCCTCCTCTTCCTTTCCCCCATCCATTCACCTCTCTTTATCTCTTCCTCCCCTTCTCTTCTTTCCCCCTCGCCTCCCCTCTCCTTCTCTTCCCATCTTTTCACCTCCCCCTCCCTCCCCTCTCCTCCCCTTCCCCATCCATTCATCTTCTTCTCCCCCCCTTCCCTTCCCCATCCATTCACCTCCCTCTTCCTCTTCTCCCTTCCCCTCCCATTCACCTCTCTCCCTCTCCATTCCCTCTCCCCTTCTCTCCCCCTCCCTTTCTCTATCCATTCATCTTCTTCTCCCTCCCCTTCCCCATCAATTAATCTTCTTCTCCCTCTTCCTCTTCTCTCTTCCCCTCCCATTCCTCTCCCTCTCCGTTCCCTCCCTCTCCCCTCCCTTCCCCTTCCCTCCCCTCCTGGATCTAACTGCAATTTTAACCTATTTCCTAACCTTGGGTTGTTCAGGGCTACGTAGAGCACTGCCGTCAAAGAATTCCTTGCTTGGATCAAAGGTGGATCCAGTTTCACCCTTGAGTTTGCTTCGTCCCTTGGCTAATTTTAAATACTGCTTGGGAAAAATGGCGTTAGGCTTCCATTTGTCCCTTCCATTGCTCAGTAATGGTCTCTAATAACAGAAAGGCCAGGATACGTGCGTTGCATGCAAGCAAAAGCGGGCCTCGGCTTCTCCTGGGAAAAGTATCTTCTTGGCAGGGGTTGTGAAAAGATTCCCTTCCCCAAAGGATTCAGGCTAGCCAGGACAGGAAGAGGAACAAAGCTATCGGGCATGCCAAAGGAGATGAGTGTTGGAAGCCATGGTGACCTCATGTGTTTGAACAGGGGTCTCCAAACTCGGCAACTTTTAAGCTTTGTGAACTTCAACTCCCAGAATTCCCCAGACAGCCATGCTGAGAGTTGAAGTCCATGGGTATTAAAATTGGTATTACAATTTTACATTAAAATGTAAAAAAGATGCTGAGACTCTAGAAAGAGTACAGAGAAGAGCAACAAAGATGATCCGGGGACTGGAGGCCAAAGCATATAAGGAACGGCTGCTGGAATTGGGTATGTCTAGTTTAACGAAGAGAAGGACGAGGGGGGACATGATAGCAGTGTTCCAATATCTCAGGGGCTGCCCCAAAGAAGAGGGAGTCAAGCTATTTTCCAAAGCGCCTGAAGGCAGGACAAGAAGCAACGGATGGAAATTCATCAAGGAGAGAAGCAACCTAGAACTAAGGAGAAACTTCCTGACAGTTAGAACAATTAGCCAGTGGAACAACCTGCCTCCAGAAGCAGTGAATGCTCCAACACTGGAAGTTTTTAAGAAGAGACTGGACAGCCGTTTGTCTGAAATGGTATAGGGTTACCTGCCTGAGCAGGGGGTTGGACTAGATGACCTCCAAGATCCCTTCCAACTTTATTATTATTATTATTATTATTATTATTATTATTATTATTATTATTATTATTAACCCACCTACCTGCTTTTACAGATGCCAGACACGAGGGAAAGGAGGAGGCTGATCAGCACACAGGCTTGATGACCTCCAAGGTCCCTTCCAACTATAATAATAATAATAATAATAATAATAATAATAATAATAATAATAATAATAATAATTATTATTATTATTATTATTATTATTATTATTATTATTATTATTATTATTTTAGAGAGCCCTGGGTTGGAACATCCATGCAACTTTACTTTTATGTAAATGGCCCCACCGAAGGGCCATTTTCCTGAAGTCGTGACACACGCAGCATCGCTCACAGAGGAGAAGGATCAGTATTCTGATATAAGAATACAGAATAACGGAGTCGGAAAGACTTGGAAGTTTTCTAATCCAATCTCCTGCCCAAGCAGGAGATCCAACTACACCACCCCAGAGAAATAGCTGTCCAGTCTCTTCTTAAAAACCTCCAGGGTTGAAGCACCCACAACTTCTGGAGGCAAGCCGTTCCACCGGTTAATTGTTCTCACTGTCAGGAATTCCACTCCTCCTCTATCGTCACCGCCCCATCTTGTGTGAACCCAATCAATCGTGGTTTATTCGGTCCACGGTCAACGGGCATGTGATATGAACACAGCCATACCTTGTTTCAGCACACATTAAATTTGCAACTTCAACCCACCGGACAGTGGAGATGTTCCCTTTGTCCTCGTAAAAATTCTATCCCCATTCCTTGCATCTACGGATAAGGGGGGGTGGATTTGCACGCTGAATTTCTCAGTATCCTTTAAGAGGAAAGAAATCTTGCCAACCTGATCAAAGTCTTCCCATTCCCCTTTTATTGTCAGCTCTCTAATGTAATATTGGGAGGTGAGTGGGAAGGTGTCTGCTTTAAACCCTCTTCCTTTTCCACTGCTTTCCCCAGATCTCTCTCTCTCTCTCTCTCTCTCTCTCTCTCTCTCTCTCTCTCTCTCTGTGTGTGTGTGTGTGTGTGTGTGTCTCTGTCTTTCTCTGTCTTTGTGTCTCTCTGTCTCTCTTTCTTTCTCTCTGTGTCTCTGTCTCTGTGTGTGTGTGTGTGTGTGTCTCTATGTGTCTCTTTCTTTCTGTCTCTGTGTCTCTTTCTCTCTGTCTCTCTTTCTCTCTGTGTGTGTGTGTCTCTCTCTCTCTGTCTTTCTGTGTCTCTCTCTCTCTCTGTCTCTCTTTTTCTGTCTTTCTCTCTGTCTTTCTGTGTCTGTCTGTCTCTCTGTCTGTCTGTCTGTCTGTCTCTCTCTCTCTCTCTCTCTCTCTCTCTCTCTCTCTCTCTCTCTCCTGCATTCTTGGGCTTCTTGCTCTCCCATGCTCCCTTCTGTCATACATCACTGGCAGTATTATCCGTTGCAGCCTTTTCTTCTACAATCCTATAGCTTTTAACAAGAAAGAAAAGCTTTTTAACAACAAGAAGAAGGCTGGGCAAAGGGACACGGTGAAAGGAGATGATCCCAGCCAGAAAGCTGCTCTTTTCATTTTTCTTTTGTCAATACCACCACGAGCTGATGTTGTTTTAGGGCAGATAATTTGGGCCCCTGGCTTATGTGGAGCAGCATAAATTTGGCAG